AAAGCCAGCTTGATAAATAATGCAAAATTAATTGTTTGAAAGAAAACGCGTATTTGTTTACTGTGAAAAGACTGAGACTGAATTCCAAATGAAATTTCTTCTCATCTTCTCTCATCTTCTAAGGATGTGTACGATGTAACGACTACATCTCCACAATACTGAAATTCATTCAGAGAGTTAAATTATTTAATATATTTTCACTGAATATTGAGCGTTTTGACAGTGTTGTCCATTTATGACAATATCTGAACCAAAACCGATTAATTTCACAGCAATTCTGTAGATAATTAATAATTAAAAAGATAAACGAACTATATACTTATAAGCGAATGATGTATTATGAACACCCAAAAACATAATATCCAGACCACAACTTACCAATGTTAACTTCAGTTTAGCTCATATTTAGTTCATTTTAACCTAAATCGGAATAAGGTTTTCGAAATCCCTTATTCAGAAGCTTTTTTATCAGTTTGCGACACTGTTTTTATCTCTGTTAAATGCAGTGAAAATAATAACGAAAATCCAGTATTTTGAGTCTGATTCCCTTTCCTTTTAAGTACCTATTTCAAGAAATTTTGTAAAAATATAACTTCTACAATAACACTTTTAAATATGTGTAAAATTTTTCTCAAATAATAGTTTCATTGCATTTGTATAAAGTCACTAGCAAATAATTTCACTAAATGTTGAAAATTAAGTTTTTTAACTACGAAATGAGATGATAAATATAATTATGTCGTCTAATTAGTTTGACTATAACCAAGTCCAGGTAAAAAGAGACTCAATAATAGTTCAGTCGGAATAATATTAGAGAAAACTAGAGAAATATGAATTGTTCTTGCTCAAATTTGAGTAAAATTTGTTAATTTTGCCTTAATAATTTTACTCATAAAACTGCTACTGTACTCATATTAGAAAAGTGAAACTTTCACTCAATCTAGTGCGAATAGAAATTAATACATTATTGGGTGCTAGCTGAGTGAAGTTTCCCTCATTTTTTTCTGTAGTGCAGGTCCGATTTTTTCTTATAAAAGAACACAATAAAGCTTTTTCCAAAACGGTTCAAAAACTAGACGTGAAAGTAGTTTTTCTTTTGTTTACTCAAGAACTACCGAAGAGAGTGATATAGTGCAGATCATTCATTGCTACCTTGTAAAACTGGAACAAAACTGAATGAGTGAGGATTAAGAGAATTAAAATTAAAGTTTTTCCTTTGGAACGTTTTTTTTTAATTGAATGGAGCGTGAACTTTTTTTTAAGAACGATCCACGATTAAAAGTTAACAATGAAGTATAGATGAAAATCAATATAAAAATATATCCAGACAATAGATTTAACTTTCCACAATTACCACTCTGTAACTGTGGAGAAATTGATGCAAAATTATTGTTTTTTAATCAATAATTCGTCGCTGACAAGCTACTAATATGGCGAATGGCGCTAATTTTTGGACTTACTCGCCAAAGATTCCATGAAAAATGTTTAAGATGTCCAAATATTTGTAATGAATATGGCCTGTTCAAATTTGTTAATGATGATTTTCTGTGACGTCAAATAACTTCTTTGATAGTTTAAACCCACAGACTCCTCTTAATTTCAAATTCAGTAGTTCATTTTTGAGTTGACTAAAAACCGTTTTACGCCAAGTCTTTGCAGAATTGTAGAACTCTTAGGAACCATTTTAGAAAAAAGTGTCTTCTTGTCTTTCGCTTACTTTGATCAGGAATCATGTCGCTGTTATATCCTGAATGTCCATGATGAAACACTGAGATGACTCAATATTGATCCCACCATGACAAAATATATTTTATAATTTCAATTTTGCAAACTGTGATGAATATGAAAATTTTCAAACGTCTGAGTTTTCCCAAATTCTATTGTCTTTTCAAAGAAAATTATTGGAATTGCGAATAAAGTTGTTTTATACCGTATCTTACTAGAAAAACCTTGCAACTTCATACTTTTAGTGAAAAATGATTTCCGTTAACTTGTTTGCTTTGTTTCAACTTATATCAATTCCGCTATACACAGAATGCATTTTTAACATGAGGCTTTCTATGCAACAGAAGTAAAACGATTTCTTTTTTAGATAATTCCTACATAATCCCATCCCAACATATTTTTAACTATTCCTGACATCGGGAAGAATATAAAATATATATTTATATATACCGGGACATTTAAATAGCCTCAGCGATGAAAGCAGTCAGAAAAACTCGCCGACGATATCACTTATTGGAGTTGATTTATGGAGGAACTAGGATTGAACCGTTGTTGAACACAGCGCAACACCGATCCCGTGACAAAATAGAAGAAAGTATTGGAAACCGCCCAATTTTATGACACAATTCCTAGTTATATGTTTCCTGTACGCATTTATCTTGGTCAATTATGTTCCAATCCAAGAATTTTATATTATTTCGATTGGTGTTCGTGAACCCTGCAACGCCCACGCTCAAAGGCAGGAACTATTTTCATCTATCGCGCCAAAGTATCAGCGGTGATGTTTTAAAAAAGTACTGGCACCGATGCAGCTTAATAAAACATCAAAAACCAACTTAAAAGAAAAACAAAATACGAGGATATATCAAAGGGGAACAGCAATTTTAATATTTGGAATGCCAAAAATTCGACACCGTTAAATTGAATGGAATTTGTTATTGCAAAATATGGAGCACTTGAATATTAAAAGAAGATTCATAATAAATGTGCAAACAGGTGACCTTCGGCTACCTGACAATATCCTAATCGATCAACGAAGGCTCTTAAGGAATTTTGAATGGCATGCTGTGATACTTCTTAAAAGGCCATCCTAATTAAATCTTCCAACTCTTCCAACAACTGAGGTTTGGTCTTGTAGACAACAGATTTTAAATGACCTCAAAGGAAATAGTCTACGGACTTAAATCTGGCGATCGCGGTGACCATTCAATATATTCTCTTCGCCCTATCCATCTATGTGGAAATACATTATTTAGGTATCGACGTGCGTCAACTCCACAATGATTCGGAACTCCATTTTGTTGTCATTTAAGAGTAGCTCAAGATTTGCTTGGTTTGGAAATAAACAAATCAATGATGGAACAATTTGCTTGCACAAGAGTTGTAAATAACGAGTTCAAAGAATGGACCGATAATGTGTCCTCCAATTATGCCCATCCACACATTTAATTTCTGAGGATATTGAATGTGATTTTCTTCTATCCAATGTGGAGTTTGATCACTCCAATAACGACAGTTATGTCGATTTACAAAACCGTTTAAGCAGAATGTCGATTGCAGAATGTTTCCATTATTCTCAATGTTGTTCATCATTTCCTCACAAAATTGCATCCTTCTAACAGGGTCATCTTCATTTAATTCTTGTACTAAATGTACTTTATAAGGATGAAATTTATTTTTGGATAATATCCTCCTTACTGATCTTTCGCATGTGTGATACAAGGCTACTTGAGGCATTGAAGTTTTTGGTTCTTCTTGTAAATTGAGAAGAACATCCAGTGACTTATCTTCATCTGCAGCTGATTTACGTGCGCTGGATTTTTAACACTTCTCGTTTCCCGAAACTTTTCACAACCCTTGAAACTGTTGATTTTGAATTCGCAGACAGACTCTTATTTAATAGGCTATTTATATAAGCTTCGTTCCAACAGGCAAGAGAATTGGTTCAGACCCCGCACGGAGATTGCGCAGAACGAAATTAGATATAGAGTTGATTCAGGTATTAGTACTTACAGCGTTCCAACAATGATCGAACTAGTTCCGAACTGATTCAGAACCGGTGAAATCGGTACTTGGTCCTGAGCAGGAACTAGAAGGAACTTTTGGAACTTTCTGGAGCATGCGTATTGAATACACAAAATTATAGAGTTATGAGTTATTACACTTATAACCTCTCTATTTTGCGATTATAACCTTAGTATGAGTGATGTAGATGATGATTTTCTGGCTTCCGAGTCGAGCGAAGATTTCGAAATTTTTAGGCATTCAATGAACTTGACAAATGACAGACATGTGATAGTTCAGTACTTATCGAGCGCATGCGTACACAGTAATTCGTTACTGCACACAGTGTGATCCACCTGGTTATCCTGGTTATACAAAAAGAAAATCAGTCTTATAGCCACGCAGTTCTTGATGGATATTAACAATTCCCTATTCTCTGAAACCCCAACATCTGCTACAATATTACATTTAGTGGCTTTTGTTTTGGATAGGTACCTACCTGTAAAGGAGTCTATCTACATTTATGGTATACCTGAAATTTCTGAAGACACTTGTGAGTGGCTCGAGGTAATTAATTCTTTTTTCTTTTTACATCGCTCCATTTATTCTTCTGAAGTCTATGTAGAGGATTCCTTTTTTTTTCCTTTCATGCGTATATCTCTTTTTAACACCCAATAGTGATCTGCCATCATATTTTCATAGTGGTAGACTACCTTGATAGTAACACTGAATAGTATCAAGGTAGATGGGATGAAAATACGGCAGATTACTATTAGATATTAGAAAGAGATATACATATGAAAACAAAAAAAAAAATAGAAAGAGAAATTTTTAGAAATACTGCTACTAAAAACTTAATGCAACTCGATGCACACGTAGTCAAGGTGTGACATCAAACAATTAACATCGACAACTCACAATTCTTTAATATTTTTTGCGCAAACGGTACTAAATTCTGGATAACCCTCGTACTTACAACATACATTTCTAGAAATATTGTTAATATGCTGACACTTCTCGAAACACCCCCGTAAATCACCGTCTAGCCGGTCCTGTTCGAGTGAGCCTGAAAGGCGACCAGGAGCAGTGTTTACCGAAATCTAATGAAGTCATTAGTCGCCGGCAGATGTGAATAAGAGTGGTCGTAAAGTTGCGCCTACAACTAATTTAACGAAGAATCTCGGAGAAATGTATGTTTAGAACTGCACGGGCTGAGGATGGGCGCTCATTTTTTTCTTCAGTGTGCTAAGTTCACTCCGGTAAGATGGGCGCTGGCATGTGCGCGGTGTTTCCGAAAATAAATTCGCACGAACGTGAAAATTCATTGAGGTACGCCTTCGATTTCTGAATTGGGTTCGGATTGAACTTTTGGAATCGTTGATCGTAAGTAGCCATTTCAAATCCAAAAATTAAAAAATATATAGAGTAATCCTTTGTTTTCTGTTTTAAGTAAAATTATTTTTTTTAATTCGTTTGCTATAATGAATTGTTATAGTTAAAGCTTGAATTACACAAATAGTATACTTCTGTTTATTTTGATGAGATAATAGTATATTCTGCACAAGAGTTGAAAATGATCCTTTTTCCGTGAATACACGAACAAAAGTATTTCATCTCATCATTTTTTTTTAATGATATATTATTATTATTTTTATTTAAATGGATAAGAAATTAGTAATAATTTTTTATGTTATTCCACATAAGAAGAAATAGCATCCTTTTCGAAATTGCCTGTGTCACATAGAAGATTATTACTCAATTTTAGTTTCCTCTTTAATATTTTAAGAATGTAGCAAATAGAACTTTCCTTTGAAATTAAGTTAATCCATGAGGAAGTTCATGTAAATTTAGTTAATTCAGTGTTTTAATTAACAAAATAATAAATTGAACATTTTTATTTTCGTCTTAAGAAATAGAATTTTTTTTGAAAATTTTATAAATAAATCTAATTTTACGTAACATCTATCAAATATTAAAAATATATCAAAATATAATATTATACACCTATACCTATATACACAAATGTATAATCTCTTATACATACAATTACAATTACTGGGTACAAGCTTTTCACAAAGAATCTGTAAGAATAGATACATTTTATTTAGTTTTGTTGGTAAATAATAGTTACCTCCTTTATGGTGTAAATAACTATATACCAAATAATTACATGTACAATTATAGTATATATGTTCTAGAAAATACATAAAACTTTTTTGGTTTTAATCTTGTCGAAATTCACTTCACATTTTGAAAAATTGTTTTTTAATTACTTTTAAGTAATGTACTTTTTTACTAATGATTACATTGTTAAACTCGAATAAGTTTGACTTAGGACATTATTAAAAAATATTCAATTAAAAACTAAATTAATTGTTTGTTAAATCTTACTTTACATTTTTTACACACTGTTAGGTATTAGCACATATTAATATGTGGTATTAGGTATGTAAAAATCAAGATAGGTTTAAATTTCGATATCAGGATGCCCAATAATAATATAATAATAATATCTCTACTCCTCATTCTAACTACGAGAATTAGCCCAGAAGTCGGATACTTGTGCGGGAAAGGAGGCGGCATATTATTATTAAGTAGGCCGCATTTGCGCCCAGGAACGGCTTATGTTGCTAGGCTCTAACCACCATTCAGTGCAGGAATGAGGGAAACCTGGAAAACCTCATTAATTAGGGGGATGGTCAAATGCCAACCGGTGTCAATCTCTCACATTGACCCAAGCCACATAATATGTGCCCAAGCCAACATTCTTCCACCCTACCATACCTGCACAGAGGGTGCTAATCCTCCGTACAAGCATAGCTAATCTACGGTCTACCGGCCGCGGGATTCGAAACCCGGGCAGATAGCACACATCGATTTAAGTACTGACGCCTTAAACCGTGCGGCTATCGACCGACTAAAAAAAAATAAATCATTTGTGATCTCATTTGTTTGATCTATACATACAATTCTGACATTTCAATAAAATTTATACAACTTTTATTTTTTTACAATTATTTTTTATAAACAAAAACTAACTGTAGGTAAGATGCTAAATATAGCAAATACACAGTAGGTTGTAATCTAGGAAATCTTTTAATTTCCTGGAAATTCTTACATTTTTCAACGACGTCCAGTGCAAACCGTCTTCCGTTGATATTCCCTATTCTAAATTAGGAAACCCGCAAAGCACTGCAGACCGGTCATAAATATCGCGTCCCTCGATTCCAGAATGTCCCAAAAAACGTCGGGAATGGCATCCCGACGACCGCGACGGCGAAGAAATAGCCGCAGATGTTCGTTGGCCGGCGGCCCTGCCAACCAACCTAATTTTAAATGAAAATAACAAAATGAGAGACGGTTTCATTCATTAAACGGGGATTTTATGAATCGGGACGGTCTGGAGGGGGCGATCTCCTTAATGGAAGCCGTAATTATTCGGTAAATGTCCAATTTGTCAACGACGGGGACCCCTCCGTTTAATCGGCGGAGGAATTTCCATTGAAACGTATTTCGTTTCCGTCACATCTTCATTTTCTTTCGGTAAATTCGCTTGAAGTTTGAGAAGTAAGCAAGTTATGAATGCGACATCCAAAAATACTCTTTTATGATGGAAAGCTACCTAAAGCAGTTGAAAGTTTATGCTTACTTAATATTTTTTGCAAATGGAACAAATATTGAATTTCTATTTAACGAGAGTTTGTTAAACAATTTCTGGGGTAGTTGCCAGGTGGACTAAAGACTCGATTCCAACACCTTTCATGCAATAATAATGCATGCAACTTACAGAAACAGCTTGAAACTACATGAAGCGTACGTCATTGGAAGCAAACAACACTCCAACTACTGTTGCCTGTCGTATTTGACGTCTTTCGATAAGAATTGACTTATCAAACAGTGTCACCCAGTACTCAACAGTCAATGGGTTGATGAGGACTAGGTCTCATCATGGAGTGGAACATGGAATTGGGAAACAATAAGAGTGACACTTTTCCTAGCGCATATAGAAAATTTTACCAAATCTTCATCATTATCAACCAATTTATTTAAAAAATCAATCCGAGCGTCTCGACTACCAACATTTAATTCTCTTTTCCACCATCTTAACTTGTTCCTTCTTCGTCTGTTAAAACTAAAAGCTATTAGGTACCAACTGCTTCCAAAGACATGACACAAATTACACACACGGACACTACTTTAGCTGCTTCAATAGAATTGGGCTTAACCGCATACTGATGTCATACCCTATCCACTCTTCTCTCGGTAGCTCTCGCTAATGAATCCTCGACCTCTAGGAAATGGGTTACTGTGTAATCCTCCAATAACATACCAGACTGATCGTGAACTGGGCGCTGAACGGAATCTTTCGTTGGTCTGCCATTTTTCCATTGCAGTTCCCTCTAACTCAATTGGAAACTAGACTTGATATTCCAGAGAGCAAGACACCCTGGTTTTGTTGCCTTTAGCTAACCTATAACTATCGGAATCATTTTAGAGGTATTTAGTGCTCTATGGGCGATTTGTAGTGTTGGATTCGAAACATGGGCCAATTTCGAAGTAGAAAGCTTATAGTATCTCACAAATCACTGCACATACTGATAATAATACACATTCGACATTATCTGACAAGTTTCATATAGAACCCTAAATTTGTGTACGATTAAAGTTATGACTCATGAACGAGCGACTGCAGATGGCACATGGAATGGAGTCTTAAGAATAGCAGCAGCGGATAGCTACTGCCGATCAACAGGAACGAGCTATGATGGAAATCTTTCTTGACTTGCCTTCTCTTCACTTCGTGGGTACAGTAAAATAAGAAATCTATTCCAAATTCAATTGTAATATAAACTTTGATGTGATAATCGAGGTAATGTAAATATTCAGGGCGTGATTTTTTTAAACATGCAAGAGAAGATAACATGAGGAGTTACAAAAATAGGCAGATCAATACTGTTGTAGATAGTTAGGCGCCGCTGAAGGCATTGATAAATTCAAACGTCCAACTGGTATGAAAATGTCCGGATGAAGCAAAAATTCTGAAGACTCATAACAAATTAGCTCTGATAAGTCACTTGGGTATTAAAGGCAACGAAAAAGCTCAATGATATTTTCGAGTTATAAATGTATATTTTATGAACAAATAAATAGAAATATTTGATGAACATAACGTTTTATTAATTATTATGAATGAATATTTATACCTAGTAATTGTACAGCTATTACATTTAATAACATTTATAAAATCTGGATAATTATTCACCTCGCGATTACTAATTGTCACATTTTTCTCAAAATTATTTGACCGCTCCATTTCAGTCACCGGAAGTTCAATATTATGTGACTGATCCATTAAAACAACATGATGCGACGTACTCATTGTAAAGAATCCCGTTAGCTATTTCATTTTTACTTAAACTGTCAACAACATAACTTTCTGCAGTTGTGGCTGATTTCCACCCACCATATCTCTTAATTGCTAATACATCAACTCCTGTATAAGCCAGTAACGTTGCCGATGTTCTTCGGAATGAATGGCCTGAATATGTTTCAGGATGTTCTAGTTTCAAAAACTGTGCAATCTTATTAGGAATCATAGAAAGGGACTTCTCCATAAAATATGCTAGGAGTGACATTTCAGAAACACCAGTATTTTTGTTCTGGCACCTTCTATGAAATTTCTATATGCTTGTCCGTAGCGCACTTTCGACTTCTCGGGCAATAAAAATCACAGCCAGCATTTGCTGGACTTTCTATTTGAAAATCACTCATTTAGAAATAATAATTCAAAACCAGCAAAATTGCTACTTTTATGTAGCTTTGTTTATAAACACCTTAGAAAGAAACGACAAACTCCAAACAACCAAGGTGACTTTGCAAGATTTCGAATAATGTCAAAATTAATTGATTAAGAAATGTCAAAAAATGAAACCTAATCTTTATTTCATGAACCATAAAGAACTGTGGGAGCAGATAAAATGTTACACACCAAGCAGCAGTTAAGTATCATTTACCAGTCTCGGACTCTATTGCCAGCCCTCCCTCGCTCCGCTCGGGTGCAAAATCGTCCTCAACTGGTAAATAATACTTTATGGTGTAAATAACTATTTGATCAAATTTTCTATCACCTGTCACTGTGACAGATTAGAACTGAAGCAACCTGCATCATTTTCTGGTAAAATGACTACGAGCTTATTAACTCTCTTATTCTCATACTATACAAGTTTTAAACTATGTTTCTAACAATTTAAACGAGCTGTGGAACGTGGACAATGGAGACATACCCCCATTATTCTTAACTTTTCAGGATGCTCGGCGGCATTGTTCAGCATTTACCCTTATATAAAATCAGGTCACGAGAGCAGACAGCACGTATTGTTTAC